GCCCAGAACAATGTTTATGTAATGAAAATATTGTTGATTGTAAAGGGAAAAAATTCACGAAAGTTCCCAGCGATATTCCTTTGCACACCTATCGACTGTTGGTTTTTTTTTTTAAATTTCTAATTATTTTAGATATCGTTATTTCTGATTTATTTAATTTCATCAAAAAGTTAAATCTCGGATAAAAAATCTCGGATTTTTAATGATGATTTTTGCTTCAAAATAATAATAATAATGATTGAACTTGTGAATAATATTACAGTCGGCTAGCGCTCACCTCAAACCTTTCATTTTTGTGGGATATGAAATTTTTTATTTTTTTTTAATTCTTTTAAATAATGAATTATCTTAAATTATGTTATTTTCATTTTTTTTTTTGTTATTTCTAGTACTAATTATTTAATAATTATTTAATACAAAAAAATTGGCAAATTATAGAGACTTACAAGAGAATAAAATTTCGATAATTCGAAAAAATGATTTTTCAAATTTACGACAACTTAAAATTTTGTTAGTTTTTTCTTTTTTTTTTTATCTTATTTAAACAAACTTTTTTTTTTAAAAAATTTGTTTGAATATTGAAAAACAGAAAATTTTCAGGCAGTTGATGGATAATGAAATTCATACTATTGAAGAGAATTCGTTTGATGATCTCTTAAAACTCGAAAGATTGTAAATTAGTTTTTTTTCTTATAATTTTTGCAAATTAAAAAATTAAAATATCTTAAAGTATCTAAAATTAAAAAAATTAAAATTTTTTTGTGATTTTCGAATTTTCAATATAAAAAATTGTATATTATTCTATAATGTTTAAATTTAAAAATAGCAATTAATTTCAGGCGACTTAACAGAAATCGTCTACGAATATTACCAAATAATCTTTTTATTAATAATTACAATCTCTATCGACTGTTAGTTTTTTCTTTTCTTTTCTTTAGATTATCTCTTCGTAAATTTATATGTAAACGAATTTTTGTCATAAAAAAAGTTAAGTTTACAAATTTTTGAACTTTTTTAATTCAACAAAAAAAATTTTTTTTGCGTATATGATTAATAATAAAATTATAATTTATAATTAATATTTTCAAATATTTTTAAAGAATTTTTATCATTAATCATAATTTATAAACAAGTTAATACTTATGATTAATGATTAGATAACGAACAATACTACTGCAGTTTGCAAAACACATTTCTCACTTATTGTCAGCTTAGACAATTTCTAAGAATGGATTTTTGCAATGTGATTCTACTGCATTACTATTTGATAGCTTAAGTAAATCGAACATAATAAATGATAGATTCATATAAATGATTTAAATTTATTACAATAATAATTTACAAAATTTAATGAAGAAGAGATATTTGATTGAATGAAGTTGTCAGATTATAAATATTAATAATGATATTTTAAAAGAAGTTTTAAATATATTGACAACTGTTATATGCAATTATTTATTTTTAATAACTTTGATAAATTTAATTTAATTTAATTATTATTGAATTAAATTAATTTAATAGAATAAGAAATGATTATTTAATTTTTGCATAATTTTTTTTAGTGATATAAGTGAAAATTATTTATCAATATTAACAGAGGATCAAATGAAAGGTCCATTGAATATGAAAAATTTACAGGCTGACAGAAATTTAATCAGTTGGTTGGTTTTTCTTTTTTTTTTTTTACAATAATTTTATCAGACATATTAGCCAGTGAGATACAGTATTGGAAGAAAGGCATAATGGAATACCATCATGTTGTTAAGAAGCTAACACTTTCTATTCCTGGTCAAATCCCTTCTATTAATGTGACGAAAGATTTTTGCTATTAAACCAGTTAATAGAGGCATTAGTCGATCCTCTCTCATTTCGCATTTATTAATAATAGGTTCGAAGTGAAACCCGAAACCCGAAACTTTAAACATCAATAGATGAATCTAAGCAATAACCACTCGGATATGCTGCCTCTCAACGTTAAAACATGACGAAAATATTATTTTTAATAAAAAAATAAAATATATTTTTGCACAGAAAACTTCCTATCTCTGCTAAAAATCTTTGTAATAGAATATGAATTATAAGAATTTATTACCATAAATTCAAACTTTGATTCTTCGATAAATTAGTGAATAAAAAACGAAGAAAGCAGCAGCAGCTATTCATATAATTTTTCATTCATTTATTCTTTTCATTCTTAGAAATTTTTTTTTTTTCAATAGCACTTAAACAATAGAAAATTATTTCTCTTTCAATAAATAATTATTTAAATAATTTATAAGGATTTTTATATTTTTATACCCTTTATATATATTTAAGTGATTTATAATATTTTAATTTTAAGTTTTTTTGGATTTAAAAAAGAAATTTTTTAAATTGAATCTTAAATTTTAAATTAAATTAAATTTGCTTTTATAAAAATTTAAAATTTTTCAACTTTATTAAAATTTTAGACAACGTGAGAAACAATAAAATTATCATTAATTTTTTATTTTTATTGTTATTTACTCAACAAATTTCTAAATATTTATAAATTTTTATGTTTATTTCATATTAATTGCAACTATTTCAGTATTGATAATAGTATATTTTCAAAATGGCCAAAAATTGAAGTTATTACATTCAATAATAATAACTTAAGCACGATGGGAAATATCCCATTTACATCAAAACTTCGCATTTTGTATGTTTCAATTTTTCTTTTTTGCAAAATATTTATTTTAAATTAGTCAAATTACTCTAAATCTATAAAAATTTAGTAGAAAAAAAACTAAAATTCTAATCTAAAAATTCAACTCTCAAAGGAAATATTTACAAAGAACAAACTACAAATTTATAAATATATAAATTAAATCGGTTGATTTCCTATTATTTTCGCTCGAAAAAATGTTGTATATCGTTGTATATCTAACTTTTTTTTTATTTTTATTCCTTATATTTGTTTTTTCATTATATTAGAAAGTTGAAAAAAAGCATTTTTTCGTAAATCATTGAAATGAGCCCAAAATATGTGAAAAATCGCGTAACGACGTGGAACTGATGAAATCCCAAGATTTTTGGGTTTCTACACCAATTTTCAAATATTATTTTCTGGTTTATTTTAGTGTACGAATTTCTTAAAATATTTTCAGCAAAAAATTTTATTTTATATATTACTTATTTATTATTTATTTATTATTAATAGATTATTTTATTTATTAAATTTAAAAACAATTTTTTTATTTAATTTTTTTATACTCAAATATATATATTATGTCAATGTCAATTTTGCATAAATAAACACTTAAGAAATAATAATTGCTCGCTTTTAAACCGAAATAATCACAAATTCAATTTAAAAATTTCCTAATCATATTGTAAATGTAACAATAAAATTTGGAAAACTGTCTTATTTACTAAATTTAGAACATTGCATGAGGGAGGCGGCTTTTAGGAAATAAAATATATTATTTTTAAAGGGAAAAAAAAATATTTCAGAAATTCTTAATTATTATTTTTTTCATATTTTTTATAATATATGCACAATACGTATATAAGTAAGTGATCAACAACAGTATGTAACAATTTACAATTTAGCAACAATTTGATGCATCTTTTAGATAAGGTGACAGATTCATTTACGCCATTCATATATATATATATATATATTCATTTATAATTGTAATAATAATTGTGATGGTGTTGTGAGAAAATCTGACAGACCAAAACGCGTTAAGTTGATTTTTATAATAAAAATGCATTCCAAATTTGACGTTATATAGAAAAAAAATTAAAAAATTTTTTATATTATGGAAGGTGGGCGATTTTATTAAGGATTTTAGTTAGAATTTTAGGTTTGAAATTTGGTTATTTGAGATTTAATCCAACCAACTTTTTTGTTCTTTGGAATTTTTGAAACACAATTAATTAATTCTCAAGGGAAAGCCGCTTTATTATTCCTTTAAAGTAAAATCTATTGTTATTGTTATCTATTGTTATTTGTTTAGCCACTTAAATATATTTAAAATTGGCGTCTAATAAATTCCTTGATTTTTTTTCTTTATTTTATCTTTTTATCATTATCATTAAATTATCATTAAATTTATTATTGAATTTAAAAAATTTCCTTATTTTTTAAAATGAATTTTTTTTAAATTTGCCTTCACTGATTGCTTTATTTGTTACGTTTAATTTATTATGTTTATTAATTTTTCCAAAGTTTTTACCTTTACCTTTTATCTTTTTTACTTTTTTTACCATTTTTACCCTTTTTTTATTGATATTTTACTGACAAAATCGGTGTGTTCTTTAAATTTTTTGAATTTAAATTCTTTTTTACTTTGATTTTGATTTTTTTTTCCTTCTAGCAGCTTGAACCATTTCTAATTTCGTTAGCTCCATTGGTGACTTCTTCGTCATTCTTTTTTTTTTTTAAACTCAATTTGCTTACTATTTTTAATATTTAACCTATGAGTTTTGTTCTTTTATTATTTTATTATTTATTTATTTTATTATTTTTATAGTTATTTAATTTCTCAGAATTATTTTTTTTTTATTTTGTAAATCTCCAATAGATTTATTTTTTTTTAACTTATTATTTGCGCACTGATAATCCTTTCTCACCTCTGGAAATATTACATCTATTCTAAATATTTCTTTTTTGTGTGCCTTTCAATGACGAAAAGATTAACGGAAAAATATCGTCTGTGTTTATAATTTTATAATTCATCTATGTGATGGTGACAGAAAATGGCCAACGTTCCATTCCGGCCATTGAATTTTTCCGCTTTTCTTACCAGTTGACAGTTTTTCTACGATTTAATAATAAAATATTTCTTTTTCCTAATTTCCATAATTCCTCAGCGAATATAAATTATTTTCCAAACTGAATGAAATTATATTTGGTACGGCGATTTTTAAAAAAGTTTTTATTACGTATGAAAAATAATCAGATGCATTATACAAAATACAAAAAATATCTGTCAATATTATAGTTTGACAAATTCGATTCGACGATATTTGAAATGTTCCTTTTTTTTTTTAGACGATTATTTGATAATCCTTGGTTATGTGATTGTCGAATAGAATGGATAAAGCAATTAATACTAACAAATAATATATCATTATCAAATGTTCGATGTCATCGACCAGCACATTTACAGTTTAAAGTAATTGAAGACATTGATCAAAAGGTTTTTCTTTTATATGAAATTTTTTGATGAGAAAGTGAAATAAATTTCATTTTATTTACTGAAAAAAATTTTATAAAATCTATTTATTTGTTTGCTTTTTTTCTTTGGAATAAATAATCTTTTTTGATTATTTTTACTATTTTCTTTTTTTTATTATTTTTATTATTATTTTACTATTTTAAAAAAAATCTATGGTGTTAATGAAAACTATTGTTAAACAATCGTTTTATAAGTAATATAGTTTATTGATAAACTTTCGATATTGTTATTGATAAAGTTAAATTTTGAGCTGTTTCTGCTGAGAATAAACAATTTCGAGCTTTCGAATCTTGTCACTTAAAAGAACTAAGCCTAGGAGAAAAATTGCTAGGCTTGGTCTTATCGTAAAGTAATCCTCTGGTAAAAAAGTACCATCTTAGTAGTTGGTGAAGCCAGCCAAACCAGAAACGACTATTAAAAGGAGTATTATGAGCTATTAGTGAGCTATTTTATTAAGATAGCGAATAAAAAAGCAGTCTTCATTTCTTCATTCTTCTAATGTTCACATTATGACATTCAATAAATAAAATTTAACGCCATTCAGATAGCAATAAATTAACAAAGAAAAACTATTGAACATCTATTATCCTTAAGTTTACGCAAAGTTTTGCAAAGCATTTAGCATTGTGCTATAAATCACCTAAATCCAATAGCATTATTACTAGCTTTTCCTCATCGAAATTCCAAAGACCACTAAGAGATGATTTTTTTGCAACAATTGTCCTCAACAACCAAATTTTTGTTCTCTAAATATTTCGATAGATTAGTTCGAAAATAGAATAAATAATCTTAATGAAATTTGAATGATTTCAGTTGATGAAATGTTCGGGTATTGAGAAACGTGCCACAAATTCATGCAATGCAGTATCTATTTGTCCATCTGCATGCGCATGCACAGAAACTACAATCGATTGTCGCGATCGTGGTTTGACTCATATACCGACCAATTTGTCACCAAATACATTAGAATTGTAAGCTATGCAATTTAGTAAAAATTTTAAAAATATCTGTTTTTAAGTTTCAATATTCAATAAAATAATAATACTAATAATAATAATAGTAATAATAATAATAGTAATAATAAAAATAATAGTAATAATAATAGTAATAATAATAATAATATTTATAATCGTCTAATAATTATCAATCATAAAATAGTAATTCATAATTTTGAATTTAAAATTATCGAATTTATCGAAATTAGCAAGCAAATATATTGTTCGATATGTTTCCTTCTAAATAATCGAAAATTTTAGAAGATTGGAACAAAATCAAATAACATATGTGCCACCAAAAGCATTTTATAATTTGAAAAATTTGAAACGTTTGTAAGATTTATTCTAATTTAATTAATTGAAATTAATTTCCATGTTTTACTCAAAAATTTTTTTAGGAGAAAAATTTATTTCTTCCAACTTTTTTCGGATTTTTTGGATTTTTTAGATGAGAAAATTAAATTAGATTTAATTACTTACTTCTATTTCATATCTTTAGATAAGTTATCAGATTTTTTGCAAAATTATTATATTTTAAAAATTTTTTAAATTTTCAGAGATTTAAGTAAAAATAATATAATGGAAATAGCGCCAAAAGCATTCGAAGGTTTGATATCTCTTAATTCGTTGTAAGTTTTTATGATTACGAAAAAAAAATTGCAAAGTTTTTTGAGACCCCCTTTAAAGTTGCATTAAAAGACGGCTTCAGTGTAATACTTCCGTCGTGATTGTTGATTGTTGAGCTTTTTTTTTTTGAGCTTTCGTTCCTAAAACGTTATTTTTTTGCAAAAAAAAAATTTATTCCAAGACATCTGCGATTAATCGAAAACGCTTTTGAGATTTAACAAATTTTCAGAGTTCTATATGGGAATAGTTTGATCGAACTTCCGAATCAAGCATTTTATGGATTGCATAACTTGCAACTTTTATTACTAAATGCTAATAAAATTCAATGCATACATAGAAATGCATTTAATAATTTAACAAATTTAAATTTATTATCACTTTATGATAATAAAATAAAGTCGATAGCGAATGAAAGTTTTAATGAGTTAATTAATTTGACGACACTTCATTTAGCAAAAAATCCAATTATATGTGATTGCAATTTGGTTAATTTTTTTTTTATTAATCAAAACATTATTATTTTTATCAAAACATTATTAGTTTAATCAAATGAGTTATAGTAATTTTTGCTTAAAAATATAAAATATATATCACTTTATGTTTTGTTAATAATTAATAAAAAAATAATGTTAATTGAAATTGATAATGAAAATTGATAATAATGGAATTGCTGCACAATTAGTGAAAATAAGGAAAATCAAGCATTTTCTTACTTCGTTATTTTTTTAATGATAATTATAATTTGTAATTATAATTGTAAGAATTTGTAAAATTAGAAATGGTTATCGATATTACTAAATAAGAAACCAATGGAAACGAGTAATGCTCGTTGCGAATCGCCAAAACGAGTTGCACGCCGACGTATTTCAACGTTGCATCATACGAAATTTCAGTGTAAAGGTATTTTCCGAATGTATTCATCTTCATTTTTTCGTATTTATTCTCACTGTGGAAATAAATTAGTAAAAAAAAATTATTAATATTAATATTTAATATAAAATATTTTTAAAAAACTCTTGAAAAAATTTTCAAAATCTCGCAAAACGATTGAATTTCTTTTTAATGCAATTGAATTTTTTTTCACTATTTTTTTTATAATTAGTAAAATTATATATTTTTAGATTTTATAATAAATATTTTTTTAAGGATCCGAAATATATATTACAGCAAAAAGTGATCAATGCCTTATTGATAATCCTTGTCCATCTCAATGTATTTGCTATCAAACAGTCGTTAATTGCAGGTCAATCTTCTTTGATTTGATTTATCGCATTTTCGTTCAAAACAAGCAGAATATCATTCATTAGTACATAAATAGAAAGAAAGCAAGAATAATCATTTTTGATTAATTGATAATTGATTATTGATGAGTGAAAAATTTTTTATATTATTAAATGAAAATATTGAATTATTAAAAATATTATTGAAAATATTGTTAAAATATTTTACCGAATTATAAAATTCTTTTAGTGGGCAGAATTTGGTAGAAATTCCTCAAAATTTGCCACATTTTACCACCGAATTGATATTGTCGCATAATAAAATAAATTCGATACGAAAAACAAATTTGAAATCTTTAACAAATTTAAAAAAATTGTAAGTAAAATCATATTTTTTTTTTGATCGCTATTGCGAAAGTTTCTTCCATACAATTTTCTTGTTTTTTACGCTAATAGGTATTTGCAAAGAATTGCACTAATTGTGATTTAAAACTGCGAAATCTTGTTGAAATCTCCCTTTGATGATCTCTAAAATCTGTCATATATATCGTAAAAAACGAGCTTTTCAAGTTCCATCAAACATTCCTTTATCGCCTCGAAAACCTTGTTACATTCTTTTGCTATAATCTATTTATGAAATCTTAAATGCTTCTGTTGTCATGAGATTCAGTTATAGCCGTTGTGGTTGTAACTTCCCACTGCCCTTCCCTTCCCTCCCCTCCCCTTTTCCCTTCATCCAAGTTATTTTCCTTATATGCCTGGTCATATGCCCTCTCGTTATGGTCGTTTTATAATTACAAATTATAAAATTGAATAAATGTGGTTTTGAAAAAGTTAAGGAGATAAGTTTGGAGCACATCTCAAACAATATACGCGAGAGACCGATTTTTATTCTTTTTAATAGTTATAATATGACTTTCGCTTTTCAGAATATTGAACGACAATAAAATCTCGTTGATTGAAACTGGATCGTTGTCAACATTAAAAAATCTTACTGAGCTGTTAGTTGATTTTTTTTAATATAAAAAAAATATATTTCATCAATTTTCATAAATTTATTTATTTATTGAAAATCAGCCAAGCAGGGAGGCAAACGCCAAGTGCTTGTATTAATAACAACAGTTAAAATAACAAATAATAAAAATTAATGACAAAAACAAAAAAAATTATTGCATCTAATAATAATATTATATTTTCACATTGGAGAAAAATATAGAAAAGAAGCTTTTTTTAGGCATTTTTGCTAAATTATTGCATTATTTCTTCGTTAATTTAGAACTATAAATCTCAAATAGATTTTTACTATTCGTGCGTCGGCAGCTCAAATCGTCTTCTCACAAAAAAAGCAATAAATAATTTTTTTTTTTTATGCGTGTGAAACAATTCCGAAATGCAAAGATTACAGTTTTAAATACAAATGAAAAAAATCCAATAGAGAATTTAATGAAGAAGCCAATTTACGAAATATTGAACTGCTTCAGAAAATTTAAGCTATTAGGAATTTTATACAATAGGATAGAACCATAGGATTACCATAGAAAGTGTTGCAATTTGCATGTATGCATAAATCACAATAATAACTAATTAAGCATAAATAACTTTGAATATTTTATAGCATCAACTCTATGTTCTAAAATATAGGCAGTTTCCAAGCACAGAATAATATTATATTTCGTTTTCCGATAATTTTTTACTATTCACTTTTGGTCATTTTTTTTTTAATTTTTATATAATTTCTAATTTTTACAAAACTTTTTTTTTATAATTTCGCAATTTATCTATTTCATTATCGCATAGATTAGGGAAAAAGATTCGATTTTTTAAAATTTTAAAATTATGGTTTATATTTTTGGCCATCGCCAAATAGTTTTGCTTTTCGTTCTATTACGTTAAAAAAAAATGAATTTTATTAAATAACCGAGTGATAATAAAAATTTGCGATGAATAAATTGATTCACTAAGGTGATTCGCAAATTTCTCAGTTCTCAAATTTATTTTTGTATTTTGTATTAGAATAACAACTCAGTTCTTTTCGCATATTTCAATTTACTTAAGCTTTTTTATTGATAAGAATTTGGAAAGAGTTTGCCATTATGGATCGATCATAAAAAATTTTCAAATTTATAAAATCATTTTAATGTAAAATCATTTATTTATTTATTATTATTTATTTAATATATAATTTATTGCTTAATTTTATAAATTTTTTCATGCCAAAAATAAGCATTTAAAAAATTTTTTTAGTGATTTAAGTGGTAATAAACTTCGATATTTCGCTTCATCATCGTTGGCTGAATCCGTTTTCAATCTTCGAAAACTGTTCGTTCTTATATTTATTTTTTTTTTCGAACAATGATACATTAGGAAAGCATCTTATGAAAAATGAAAACGAGTGGTATAGTATTCATTGTTTTCGAAATATTTATAGAGAATAGGTGAAATTCTTGGAATATTCATAATTCTTAAAATTTTAAAAAAATCTCGCGGACAATTTAAAGATAAGACAATTTGTAATATTTTGAAATTTAACATTGTTCTCATTATTTTTGATATTTTTTTTAGTCGATATAGGGTTTTGATAAGCACTGATAAAAAAGAAAATCATTGCACTCTTCAAAAGTGTTCATTGAAATTTACCCTAATTTATTTGAAATTTAATTTAGTGAAAATTGATTAACCAATATTATATTTGTTTTTTCATCATATAGATAAATCTTTTCAAAGAGATTTCGCTGATGATACATATTTACCAGTAATATCGAAATTGCCTAAATTTTTTCAATTCGAGTCAAATGAGACTCGATTGATATGAATTTTTCAGTTTACTTAACGATAATGAACTGGAATGTATAGCGAGTTCAATGTTGGATTCATTATATTCACTTAATTTTTTGTAAGTTTTATTTTTTTCAAAATTTTTTTTATTGAATATGATTTTCGAACAATAATTTCGTAAGGAAATTTTTCGAAATTTTTCAGGAATATTAGTAATAATCGTTTGAAAAGTATTTCCACTGAATCTCTTTCGAAATTACGCAATTTACGATCAATGTTAGTTTCATTTATATTTGATTTTTATGACATTTAAATTTATTTCTGCTATAAAAGCAATTTAGATCACTTTCAGATCACTTTCAGATCACTTTCAAATAATGAGTTCATATGCAATTGCTATATGTCTCAATTTATATATTATTTACGGACAAGTAAAACGAAATTAATGGACGCTGCCTTATGCGTCGAACCGAAACATCTTAGAGGCCGTTCTATTATTAGCCTTAAAAAGGATGAACTCTCATGCAAAAGTATTTTTACCTTAGAAGTATTTGTTTTTGCATCATAAATTGGTAAAATTGAAAATTGATAAACTGGCTAACTCTTTTTTTTTTCAACTCTTTTTTTGTAAAAAAAAATTGTGCGCTTGAAATAGTGATGTTTAAGGTATGGTTGAAAATGTATGCGCTGAAAATGGGATTTATTGTCCAGTCGGGTGTATTTGCCAAAATACCATCGTCCGTTGTTCTAATCACAATCTTAAAGAATTTCCCATTGGAATACCTTACGATACAACTGAACTGTTTCTGGATTCAAATCGGATAACTTCAATTCCTTCTTATGAACTTAATAAACTTTATAAATTGAGAAAACTGTATGAATTTTACTGGTGACCTTATACTCTTCTTCTTCAACATTACTCATGATTAATCGTAATAAACTATTAAGATGAAATACTAGAGGGCTCAAGAAATACTGGGGAGTTTCATTTTTAATTAATCCAGGAAAGGAAATCGGACCGATCGTGCTTGCAATACTAGCGGTATATTGCAATGTTCAATGCAATATAACGCTCGATTATTCCACCCTTGCGTTGTATATCTTCCAAAATGCTTAATTATGGCTGATCCATTTATTTTTCGTAAAAGTTAATAATCGAACCGTTTTACAAGTTATTGGATTTTCAATAGAATTTATAGAATTTATAGAATTTATCAGTTTGAAATAAATTAAATCAAAACCAATTTTCAATTATTATTGCCATAAAATAAATGTAAATAAATATGAGAAATTTTTAGGGATTTAAGTCATAATCAAATCGACGTTATCGAAAGTTTGACATTCAAAAATTTGACAAAACTTTCAACATTAATTCTCAGCTATAATAAAATTCAATGTATCGAATCACATGCGTTTTCTTCTTTAATAAATCTTCGAATTCTTTCATTGCATGCGAATGATATTTCTATTTTGCCGAGTTCTGCTTTCCAAGATTTGCTCAATATTACTCATATGTTAGTTGCATTTTTATTTTTGTAATTTTAATATAACTTAAAATATTTTAGATTTAAAATATTTAAAATATATATAGATTTAAAATAGATTTAAAATATAATGAATATTTCGTATGATCCATTACACTATTATAGGTTACCGCTGGAAATTTAGTAGTATTTTCACTCTTCTTTTTTTATTAGTGGTACTATTTCTTTTTAACTGTTTGGGAGATATTTTTAGAGCATTGGGGAACAATGCAATATATTGTGATTGTCATGCAGCATGGTTCAGTAAATGGATTAAAAACCGTTTCATCGAGGCAGGTATAGCTCGTTGTGAAATGCCACTTTCGGTTCGCAATCAACTACTTTTAACCGCTAATGAGAATCAATTCAAGTATCTTATTTGTTTGTCTAAAATTTTCATAGCAAAAAATTTTCTATTTTATTCACTAAATGGTTCTTCACTAAACTTTACTACAAAGCCAATTTTTACATTTTAGATGCGATGGTGATCCACCGAAAAATATTTTAGCAAAATGTAATGTTTGTATTGAAAATCCATGTAGTAACGGAGGCAAATGTGAATTATTGCGAGGTCGTTCATTTTCCTGCAAATGTTCGATTGGATATTATGGAAAATTATGTGAAAAACGAATTGATGCATGTTATGGGCATCCGTGTTTGAACGGTGCTACATGTAAAGTGAATTTCTGGACAGAATATTCAAATTTTAAATATCGCCTTGTCCTTGCCATTAATGGAAAAAATTTATTTATTTTTTCTAAGATCTAAATTTAATAAAAATCTCTGAAGTGTTATACTAAGATAATCTGCCTTCCATTAGAAATTCTTTTATCATGAATATGAAGGCTTTAAAGAAAAAACATGGTGGAGTGTGATAACGTTTTGGTGAAAATTCTGTTCTCCGGTCTTTCTTATTTTTATTATGCTTAAAAATTAAATTTTTATTTCACTTTGCCATTAAAGTCAAAATTGGAGAAAGTAATAAATTTTAGGTGGTACAAGATGGACGCTTTACGTGCCACTGCGTGAAAGGATTTGACGGTGATCGTTGTGAGAATAATATTGACGATTGTATTGATAACAAATGTCAAAATGGTGCTAAATGTATTGACATGGTTGGCGTTTTTTTTTTTTTCATTTTTTCATCATAAAATTTTTCAAAATCTATTTTATAGAATTTTTCTTAATTTTCATAATCTTTCGATTTGATATTCAAATGAATAGTTTTTTTTTATGATAAAAATAGAGAGACGAAAAAAAATTTCGCTTAAAATTTTATAGACGAATTCATATCGATGTGATTGTCCAACAAAATTTACTGGTAAATATTGTGAAGAAAATTTCGAATTTTGTTCCAAAAATTATAATCCTTGCATGAATGGCGGATATTGTATGGAGAATGCATTTAATTATACGTCAGTTTTCTTTTCATTTATATAATTTATTATATTAATCTTAATAAATTAATATTTTTCCTATTTTTGATTATGAAAAACATTGCAATTTTTTAAGAAAAATTTGAAAAAATATTTTATTTGTCGTAATTTTTAAAAGCTATTAGTGATTGAAAAATTTAAATTTTAAATTTTAGTTGTAAATGTGCATCAGGTTTCACTGGTACGAATTGTACTATTAACATTGATGATTGCCTGAACAATTTGTGCAAAAATAACGCCATTTGCATTGTTAGCATTTGTAATTGCCTTAAAAATTTATAAATTTTAAAGATTTATTTTATTTTTTGGGGTATTTAGCAAGTTAAAATCTTTTGAAGATAAATATTTTCGTAAACATTATTCATTAATTATTTTATTATTATTATTATTATAATTATCATACATTTATAATGTATATATATATATATATATATATATATATAATATTAATTATGTGCAATATAATTTTTATAAAATTAACTCAGACATATTCAAGGATGGCATTGGATCATATAAATGCGAATGCCTTGATGGTTATTCTGGAAAATTTTGCGAATTGGCTCCTATATCAAATAATTTATATCCAAATACATCGCCATGCACATCGTATAGCTGTGAACATGTATGTCAGTCAATTACTAAACAACTTTTGCACCATATTTTATAATTACTTTCTAATTATTTATTATAAGTAAATATTTCAACCTTTTTTTTTGTCTCATTTTATTTTTAAATAATTCTCAAAAATACAAAACGGACTCTTTCCTTTTGCTAGAATTTTTCAACTTTTTTTAAATGCGAAGCTTAAAAAAACAAAAATTTAAATAAAATTTAAACAAAAATTTTTAGATGTAAAAGAAATTTAAAAAAATTAAAGAAATTTTTTGTTGACTTTAAATTTAAATTTAAAATTTTTTTAAGGGAATCTGCTTGAATTATAATAATGATTTTGAATGTAAATGTTTCGAAGGTTTTATGGGTAAGCGTTGTGATGAATTACGTTCAGTTGGTTTCAATGGTTCCGAATCATATATCGCATTGGAACCTTGGGTACCACTCGCCCAAAGCAATTTGACATTTACATTAATTACGTTTGCAAGGTCACAGTTCCTTTTATTTTTGCCTATTAAAGAATTTAGAAATTTTTTAAAATCCTTGTAAATTTTCCTATAAATTTAGTAGTGGTATCATAATGTATTACGGAGACGACCATCACATTTCTGCCGAACTATATAATGGAAGAGTTAAAATATCATTTTACATCGGCAATTATCCGCCATCACATATGTATAGTTATGTGACAGGTACCACACTCACCACACAACATTAATCTTTTCATGGTAAATATCGTTGACTTTGGTTAAAAAAATTTTAGTTAATGATGGAATTCGACATCGTATAGAAATTTTGATTGACGGAAAAGCGAATAAATTGATTATTGATGATATCGAACCACAAACTATAGTAAACAGTGGAATTATCAATGATTTTGAATTAAAGTCAAAAAATAATCTTTATTTGGGAGGATTACCTAAAAATATTTCAGTGAAAGCTATTGATAGTTTTCATATTGTGAGCAATATCAGTCTTCAAGGTTAAATTGTAGCTTTTAATAAAAAATAATCTTTTAAGAATAAAAAACAATCATTATCATTCAAATATCATCATTTTCATCAATTTTTATCATTGAAATTAATTTTATAGATTAAATCTGCAAATTATTTAATTTATATTATAATATTATATTCTCGTTAGAAAAATATTTTTGAATGAATGAATAAACGATAAGATTAATCGAATTTCTATAAAATTTTTAGGTAATAAATGGTCGATTTATTTCGTTTATTTAAATTATAAATATTGTTCGAAATTCTTCTGCATCACTTCTTCTCTATTGTTAAAAACTAATATTACTAATATTGTTTTTTTTTTCTGTTCCAAATGATAATAAGTTTAAAATTTTTGTTTCAGGATGTATAACCGATGTTTATTTAAATGATCGAGCAGTTGATTTACATAAAACCGATAAAAAAAATATTAATATTGGCTGTCATTCAACAGTTGATTTATGTCGAGGCATAAAGTGTAATTTCGGCACTTGTGTAAGGAACACAACATTAACTGACGGTTATAAATGCCAATGCAGTAATGGATATGAAGGAATGTTTTGCGAAAAAAGTTCGTTCTTGTTCTTATAATTTTTCTTTTTTTGCAATTAAATTTTTAAAGGTGTTAAGATTTGTTCATCGATATATAAACTTTATAAAGTTATTTTTTTTTAATTTTTTTCTTTTCTTAAATGGCAAATGATAATGGTGATTAGAGTATCTTTGTTAATACAAATAGATATAAATAAAGTAAAAAGGGCTACTTTTTGAAAATTTATTGTTTGCTCATAAAAGATGCTATTTCATCTAAAAATATTTCGTGCTGATTTAATGAGTGAAAGATGTAATAGATGAAATTTATAGTCGGATAACTCAAAAACTAATTCTAAGTTTACAGCTGTTACATTAAAATCATTAAAAATCCATTGAAAATGTCTCTAAAAATTTGTGAAAAACACAAATTATGCTACTTTTTTTTTCGTCCTTGCTTAATATTTCTTTTAGGGAAAACACAAATTAAGCCTAATTGAAAACCAAATAAGGCAAAAGACTTCATTCTAATTAATCTTATTATTTTTAAATTTTAAAATTTTCAGCATTTATTAATCAAATTATTAAAATGAAATAGCGGTTGTTTTCTTTAAATTTATAATTTTTTTTCTCTAATTTGCATATTTTTGATATTTTTAAAATTGATTATATAATTTTCATTTGACTCTAATTAAGCATTTTCAAAAAAAAGAAATGAAAACGAGAATGAAAAATAAAATTTAAAAATTAAAAATTTTTAAGTGAAAAAACAATAAAATAATGATCAAATAAAGTATTAAAAAAAAATTGTTAAAATAAATAGATTATTCATCGCAAATATTTTTTGAGGAGAGGAGTTTTGTGTGAAAGAAAAGTATCGTAGTTATTACGAAGAAAATGATTGCCGTTCAGTTGAACCAATAAAAAATGCTATTTGCCATGGATGGTGTGGTACCAGCAAACCAAAGCAATGTTGTTCACCTGTTAGAGCTAAAAGTAAAAAAATTAAAATGCATTGTAAAAATGGTAATATTGTTGTAAAAAATATTATTATTATTAGAAAATGTCAATGTACATCGCAAAAAAGTTGTACTTTTAATTAATTAATTTATATTATGTTGATATAAATTTGAAACTATTGAAAAATACCAAAGTATATTTGTAATATTTTCGTTATTTCATAGATATTTTTGCAAATTTCCGGTTTTTTTTATAAATTTTTACAGACAGCCAAATTTTTATTTTTTGATATTTTATTGAGGAAGCTTGAAGAATTGTTGAAATTCCATATGAATTTTCGTTAATGACTACTTTTTTCCATTGTGAATTATTATCAATAAAAATGACTTAGAATTTGAAATAATCTATTTTATAATTGAGGAACTCGAAATCAGCAATCTCCATGTCTGCCTTTATCCACCTTAGTACATCAGCTGCGTATCTGATGACTAGTAGTCCATGTATGTTTGTGAAATACATTTTTCCCATTGAGCTAGCCCATCAAAATTTGTCTTGTCCTTAGATGTTGCAGCCTTTCTTTCTTGCCTCGTCATGTTTGCCATGTGACTGTGTTATATTAAAATTAATTTAATTAATCTAAACTCTTTTTTTCCCCAATTTATATTCTTCACATTCAAATATAAAATTCTTAGGTAAATAAATAATCGCGTAAAATGTATATGAAATATGGAAAATAATAAAATTTATATTTTTTAAGAAATATTACAAAATTATAAAAATTTGATATTTGCAAGCGAATTCACTTAATTATAATACTCATCTTTTAACGATAAATATTGAAAAATTTCTTATTTGTCTTATTTATTAAATTATTTTTATTATCAATTATTTTTATTTTTTCATTAATATGATTCAAAAGGCTGTGCGAAATGCTATGAATAAAGCAGTGAACATCGCACATCACAGTGAACATTTGAAGAATATTGGCGGAATATGGATGCTAAGCAATTCATGAATAAGAAAAGAATTATCGCTATAAATATTAAATTTCAATAGCAACTAAACAGTTTGTTAAAATGATATTCCAAAAAATAATGGGATTTCAATGCATTTTAAAAGCATTTTTCAGTGAAGGCATTTCGATTTAAAATACTTTCGTTCTTTTTTCTTTTTTCAAAATTATTTTTGTATTTGTGTATTTTTAATATTATGGATTATATAATCACAGTAGCTTCTTTGGGCTGTCAACTTAAAACGCTGGTGATGAAATTCTAATATCAGCAAGAATGAAAATATTTGAAAATCTGAGTGATACTAGTTCACCTGTATTTCTGTTGCCGAGGGGTACATTTGTGTGAACCATCAAGCCAGCGGAGCGAGGCTAATCAGTTAGTAATGAGTTCTTAAAAAAAGTATAATGGATTGAGCCAGAAAATTGGTTTCGATTCTATGAAAGAATATGATAGTGAGCATCTTAAATTGTTATTTGATTATTGCAAATTGGCTGATCATTATTTCTTTTAACCAAATAATCGTTTGCTGATAGAATCAATTTAAAGCAAACTTATTCCCTATGAATCTAAAAAAGGCGTCGTCGATTACCCATACGAACTTCTATCTTCTAATGGCTCTTTGATAAAGAAATATTGTTTTAATGGCCTTCGACAAAGAATCTTATCATAATAATTAATCTGGCATCAACGATGATCTATGATAAAAATGATCTATAAGGAAAGTATGCATGAAAAGTTCATGAAGATGATATTTTTTAGGAATTTTTAAGGATGGCATGGGTGCAAAATCGAAAGAATTTTGAGCGTTTAATAGATTCCGCAGAATATATGAACGCCGTTTATGGTAGTCCGCTGGCTTATTTAAAAGTCTGCTTTTTTCGTGCCCTTCTTTTCGATTCTCGATTCACAAAAAATTTAGAGAAAATTTTAATTTAAAAATTAAATATAAAATATAAATATAAAAAATTTAATTAATTTAATTTAAAAATAAAAATATTTTGATTTAATATTATCAACAATTAAAAATATATTATATTATAAAAATATATTAGGAAAATGAACAAGTGAAATTTGTAACTGAACGAGAATACTACGGTGATTTAGGATATGGAGAATGTTTTAATTCAACGTCTTCTGGAACTCAAGTAAGAAATTTAGATAATTTGTACGGTTTCTAAATCATATCAAGTGTCTCGTGAAATTTTATAAAATTTGGTTTAGTGTGAAATAATAACTGGAGAATTTAATCCAGATTTATTACCATACGACAAAAAAATGGCCTGGCATCTTAAGGAATTTTGTTATAAAACATCCGCACATGGAATTCCAATGATTGGAAGAGCACCAAACAAAATATACAGGTTTTTTAGAAGAGAAATTTTTTTCAAAATTGAAAAATCACGCAATAATTAATATTTCAAAAATTCTGGAAATTCATTTTAGAAAAATTAGGTGATTTTGATTAATTCCTTCTAGGGGAGTATGGATTTTATTGTTTTTGGGATGCCTAGTAATGCTTTACTTAAATGCTATAAGCGTGCTCGATAAGTATCATCGAAACGAAAAGATCGTCGATATTCAATTGAAATTTGGTGAGTTACCATAAGTATGCAAAACGACAAAATACATTGTAAAGTATAGAAAAATTAAAATTACAATATATATAATATATATGAATTGACTTTTTCTAGCCGTTTTTTTCGACTCATTTAACTTTTTGCAGAATCTCGTCTAATATATTTTTTGATGAATTTAATTCAGTAGAATTATTACGCTCTCAAAAAATATTTGCAGATAGCGCACCGTTTCCGGCAATAACTTTATGCAATTTAAATCCGTATAAAGTTAGTCAAGCAAAAAATGTCGATATGGTCCAGAGGACGGTTCGTTTCAATTTTCCTTTACCATTTTTCAGTTGCTAAGATCGCTAAAATGCAATCTTTCTAAAAAAAAAAAAAAAAATTATTTAAGTAAATATATGAAAAATAGATCCGATCCATCTATTAACTGATTGAAATAAATAGAAACCTAAATTTATAGCCATTTTTTAATGAATTTTTTTCATTAAAGCTATCCGCATTCAATGGTGCAATGAATAAAGCAAGCGGTGATTCGGCGATATCAAATCAGCAGAGGAAAAAAAGATTTACAAAACTGAATTTGAAAACATCACTTTTTGAGCCAGTGATTTTTATTTTTATTTTAAATTCGAATCATTACAAATCATACAAATCTCAGGGAATAAATAAATTTTTAAAATTATAAATTTTAAAATTATAATTATATTATAATTTTATATAAAAAAATTTTATACCAGAAAATTGCAAATAAATTTTTTTCATTAGGTAAATTTTTTGGGAAAATTTTTCTCTTTCGGTAAAATCGTTGTAAACTTGAAAATATGAAAAAAGCCTTGAAAAAAGTGTATATAAATAAATAAATATATATATATATATAATAGAAAAATAAATGAAATTTTTAAAAAAATTATTATTTTATGAGATAAATTAGATATATTGAAGGGCTATTCGAAATGTGAATGCCCTCAAAATCAGAATGGTGCAGAATGTGAAGGCGAAAAATATAAAAGCGAAGAACCTAAGAATGCTGACGAAAAATGTTTATGTGCCTTTGATAGAAATACGAATGATGCTTGGCCTTGTTATTTGGCAGACCAATGGGTACAAGAAATATGCGAAAATTGCGATTCTCGAGCTTTTTGCTCTCGAAGTAAGTCTTTATATTTTTTCTTTAAAGGAAATCTTTCCTTAATCATTTTCCTTAATAAAAGTAATAGTCATTTTCACCCTAAAAAAATTATTATACAAAAAAATCAGGCAGAAATAATAGCTTTTTAGCTTCGAAAGAAAGAGAGAATGTAAGTCCATGCCTATGCGCTCCATCTGGTAAATTTTGCGTTGCTTATGATGGAAAATCGTCAATACTTGAAATTTGGCAATATCTAGCCGGTGGTGCGCCAACAGAAGATCCAGCTTTCCTCGAAGCTATGGGCTTTGAAGGAATGACTGATGAAGTAAGCAAGTCTATAAACATATATATTTATTTTTTATTTATTTATCATATTTTTATTTTTATTTATTTATTATATTTTTTAATTAATTACATCAATTAAGTTTACATATTAAATATGTATTCAATTTAATATACATTTATTTTTAAGATTGTTCAAAAAATTCGACTATCCGTTCTATTATATTTTTTAATTATAATATATAATATTATTATAATTATAATAGGTGGCAATAGTGACAAAGGCAAAAGAAAATATCATCTTTGCGATGGCAGCTTTGTCGATGGAAGAGAGAAAACAACTATCGACAACTAAACGAGAACTTGTCCAGAAATGTTCATTTAATGGTGTTGCATGTGACATTGAAAAGTAATTTAAATAAATAACAAAATTAAAAAAAAAATCTTAAAATTTGTAAAAAAGAAATAATTTGAAATTTTATCAAAAAAATTAGAATTAATTTTAAAAATTTTATTATCGAGCATTGAGCATTATAAACAATGGAATATTTTTACAGAAAACAAATCAATAAAAATAAATAAGTTAATTAAAAAATTATTATAATAATTATAAAAATTCTATTATAATAATAAATTCGATGTAAAAATAGAAATATTTTTTACGAATTTATACTAAACATCGATAAGAAAAAGAGAAGAACAGGGGAGAGAATATATCGAAGTACATGAAAAAAATTTTGAAAGAAATTTTGCAATAAGAAGAGATAAAACCTTAAATTAAAAAAAGATAAGAGATGAGGAATTAGATTTTGAAATTCTGGATAAAAATTCTAAATTTGATAAATCCGCATCAAAATTCTGAGCTTGACACTTCAGGAATACGGATATTAAGAAAGATTTAGAAAGATGGAAAAATTTTTTCTTTCTTAAATCAGATCATCCACTAGCTCCATTATCTTATCGCGTTAACCGAATTAAATTTTATCAGATAGCGACTTGACGATAGAAGTTCAAATGGGTCGTTAAGAACCACTCAACTAATTCTTAGACGACTCATTTCGTGTATTATTAATTATCAATTATTTATTTCATTATAAAATCATTATTCATTAAATTATTCATTTGTAAATCTAAATGATTTCATCATTTTATCATTTTTTTTCACTGATATTTTGCAGTGATTTTTTAACGCACGTTGATCCTAATTTTGGTTCATGTTTTACATTTAACCATAATCGATCGCATCATCTCACAAGTATACGTGCAGGTTTTCGCAATTTTAATTTGTTTTTTAGGAAGTTAATATTTATTAATTTTAATTTTATATAATATAATGAAGCCGTAGAAAATTGTAATACCATCATGGAATTTTTTTTTTAAGGCCCTATGTATGGTTTACGTATGTTAGTCTACGTAAATGCATCTGATTATATGCCAACTACGGAGGCTACTGGAATCAGATTAACAATTCACGACAAGGAAGATTATCCTTTCCCCGATACTTTTGGCTATTCAGCTCCCACAGGATACATTTCTTCTTTCGGACTTAGATTGGTTTGATTGTTTTTTTAAAACAATTCCTTTATTTATATTTTACTATATCACGCTTTGATCAATCGATGATATTATCGAAATTTCATTAACTTCTCTGACATATCCCATCATCATAAGCTTGTGAAGAAAGGATAGTAGCGCTCTATGACATTTCGCTATTTGCTATTAACATGGTGGTGTCAAGGACAGCCGTTCGAGAACTGGTCCAATATAGCCATAGGATATTCGCGCTTAAATGGTAGAAATTAGAATGGCTTCAGTTTACTTTTAGGAAAGGTAGATTCAATTCGAAAGCCTTGTTTTGCAAGTCAAATCAGCTGTGGTGCAAACCTCTGAATATATTTATAATTACGAATATTCAGTTGTGGGAAAGATATTAAATAAACAGGAAAAACAATGTAGCTGAGTGGACAATGGCTATCATATTGAAGTAAATCCGTCATTAAATCATCCATCATCTAATTGCTAGCGATTTACTATCATATAGCCAAACAACTTTCTAACAATAAAAAATAATTATCTAATCATAATAACGATCAGCGAAGCGAGCCTAAGCAAAAATGATAAATAACTTATTGTTTCGCTTAGTTTAGATAAATTTATCATATCTAAAATTAAAAATTATAAAATTAGTAAAATTAAAAATCGATGCTTATCAATGATAATCAGTGCTTTTTATCTAGTAAACGAAGTTCAAAAAATCGTTAAATTTAATAAAAAATTTTATAAATGAATTTAGCGACGAATGACTCGTTTACCAGCTCCATACGGTGATTGTGTACCAGACGGTAAAACTTCTGAATACATTTATAAGAATTACGAATATTCAGTTGAGGTACTATTCGTGGTACTATTCGTATCGTTTCTATAGAATTTTCAATAAGTTTCGAATTAAATTAAATTATTGAAGTTTCGAATTATTAAATTTTATTATTATAAATTTTTAATTCGATCGAATTTTTTTCGCACTATTTCTTAAATAATTTTTTAAATAAAGCTTTCTTCAGGGTTGCTATAGATCTTGTTTTCAACAATTGGTGCTTAAAGATTGCAAATGTGGTGATCCGCGATTTCCTGTTCCTGATGGCCACGTTCATTGCGAAGCAGCGAATCCTGTTGCCAGTAAAAATTCTCTAAAAAAAAAAAAAAAAATGATTTAATAGAGACTATAATTTTAATTTTAGAAAGATGTCAATAAATTTTGGAAAATTTATGGTTTATGGAAAATTCAAAGAAAATTTAAAAGAAAAGAAAAAAATTGAGAAATTTTTCATTGGGTTTACGTACGAATGATATAAATAAATACACAAAAATTTATAAAATTAGGGAAAAAGAACTATTAAAAATTATCAGAATTATACGTATTATAATGCATTTATTAGAATTATAATTGATAACTGATAATAACTATGCAATAAGCGAGTGTTGCGCATAACTTTTGATAGTGCTAAATTTTTCAGTGATATATTTTTTGTGAAACTCGCAAAAATTACAAAAACAAACTTTATTTTTTATTTCTATTTATTTAAAGGAAATAAATATTAAAATAATACGCAAATTTATTGCTCAAAGTCATTTAAACTTAATAAATACTAATGAATTAAATGTATTTTTTTTTGCCAAAAATCTATCCATTACTAGAATGAATAAATTAAATTGCGGGAAATTTTCGAGAATTTTTTTATTTTTAAATGATAAAAGATAATTTAAAGGGAAGTGCTTAGACGAGCGAATAAATGAATTAGGCGGACTTCATGGAAGCTTTCGATGCAGATGTCAGCAGCCATGTAAACAAGCAATGTACTCGGTTACATACTCTCCGGCTAAATGGCCATCTCAATCACTTCAAATTCAACTTGGCTCATGTAATGGAACTCCAACTGAATGTAATCAACATTATAAGTTCGTTGAAATCAAATATTCACTTTAAATATGGACAAATTGACGAATGAAAGAGAAAACCAATTATTTTGAGACGTATAATTATAAATTAAAAATTATAAATTTATAAATTTAATTTAAAAATTATATTAAATAAATATTAAATATTACTATATTATAATAATAAATATTATTTATTAACAATATTATTATTTTATAATAAATATTATATTAAATTAAATTATATTTAATTTATTTAATTTAATTTATAAATTTATATATAAATTTATATATAATTTATATAATTTAATTTATTTATAAATTACAAATTTTAGCAAATTTTAAAAATATAAATATTTTGTATTTTTTTTTTAGAGAAAATGGAGCAATGATAGAAGTTTTTTACGAGCAACTCAATTACGAGATGTTAACGGAATCTGAAGCGTACGGCGTAAGCTAATCGCACCTTCTATAAATTATTTATTTCCAGTTTATACATACATATATAGTAAACACTATTGAAAATTTTTAATATACCAGCAAGGCGGAATTAATTATGAGGCTTATTTTTTTGATATTAAAGATCTCTTCTAAATAAAATTTCTAAAAAAATAAATAAATTTCAGTTGGTGAATTTATTGGCCGATTTTGGTGGACAATTAGGTTTATGGTGTGGAATAAGTTTTCTCACCTGTTGTGAATTTGCATTTCTAATATGCGAAACAGCTTATATGGCAGCACAATACAATTATACATTATGGAAGAAAAAAAAAGCCGAAAAAGAAAAAGCTCGCCAAATTTAATTAATTTTAAATTTTTTATGCCATAGTTGAATTTATCAAATCAAATTTTATCAAATCCGTTATCAAATAACTGGATGTGATTCGATTTTATTTATAAATTATAGCCTAACAAAATTTTTTATTTTTTTGTATTCAACAAAAAAATTTTAAAATATTTCAAACAAAATTTTATTTCGAAATGCTTTTAGTTGCGTTGTAGAAAAAAACATTAATAAAATAAAAAATAAAAAGAAATTCTAATATTTTTCCAGGTGAAGACTGAAAAATAATTGATAAATTTCTTTATCTGATAAAGCCTATTTTTTTTCATAAATATTTTTCATAAAAGAAAGAATAGAATAATTTTTAAAATATTTATTTCAAACTGATAACTTTAGTATATAACTTTAATATAATTTTATACTAAATTCCATTGTGTGCATTTCTTTTCTTCTTGGCATTTAGGATTGGTTGGCTAAAAATGCACAAAAAACAATTGCATATTTTGTTGTTCTTATTTTTTTATATGCAAATAATTTGCTAGAAATTTCATTAAAAAAATTTGATAAGAAAAGAAAAATTTTGAAATTTTACTAAAAAAAAAAAATTTAAAATGGATTTAGAAGAAATTTGCTTATTGGAATATTGGTTTTATAATAAATCATACCTTATTAAAGATTCTTTTTAACAAGACAAATACTGTTAAAATAAAAAAGAACATAAATCCTATATGAGCAAATATATTAATATTGTATTGTATTTTCTTGCGAATATCATCGCCCAAAATCTGCTAGAAATTTTAATTAAAATTTTAATTTTAATTTTATTTTTGAATTTTTTAATTTTGTTTAATTAAAATAAAACCTTCCTTGATATTTTTCATTTTTCACCTATATAAACTATAATGAGGTTTCCATAAATGAACAAAATAATTACAATTTGTTTAGCTTAATTCTTTGTTTTTAATGATTTTATGAAAATGATTTTTTAATGATTTTATTAAAATGAATTTGTAATTTTTGGAAAGGTCGAAGGTCGTAGGGGAAAAATTTTTGGAAAACTATATTTATTAATTGAAAATTTACATTATTATCTTGTTATCTATTCTTCTAGTGATAAATTTTATGTGGTAAAAAATAGAAAGAATCGAAGTAGACAGTGGGAATTGGAGAGTGGAAATAACGGAGGAACGCGAACATTGTGAGAGGAGAATTATAAGCTTATAAGTTCTCCTTCTCGTTAAAATATCCTTCAACCTTCCTCAAAACTATCCTCCATATGTTAAGGCATTTTTTTTTTTAAATATGAAAAAGAATTTCATGTTAAATTACAATAGAAAAAGTGCTCACCTCATTGTTTGTTTTTGTTCTATTGTTTGATTTTAAATTGAAATTTTTAATGGCAAATTTTATTTGAACTTCAACGCCATTTCGCTTAATTTCGATAATCTAAATAAACTAATTTTATATTTAATTTCAAATTTAGTTTTAATTTAGATTTTCCATCGACAAAAGATTTTCCATCACCGTCAAAAGAATTGCATTGTATTATTATAAATTATAAATTATTATAAATTATGGAAAATGAAAAATAATATTAAAATATTTTATATTACGGAAATCTAAAATTGTACTAAAAATGTAAGAAGAAGAATGGTCGAGTAGTGTGTTGCTTTGACAAATATTAAATTATTATTATATGCTCTATTTCCATCACCTTTAGCTGAGGAGGTGGTGCTGAGGATCCACATATATTTTTAACCTAATAACTAATTATAATAGGTGCTGGTCAAGAGATCTAATCTAATAGCCAGTGAAGTCAACCAAATTGAAAACGCTGAATAAGAGATTCTCGCAGTTTTTCGTCAATGAAAATGAAACAAAAAATAAATAGGGTAAAAAAAAAAGCAAACCTGTGCATGCGGGAAATTTTCACTGCTATTGACCGTCGAGTGATCTTCTGTTAAATATATTTTTTGCAAAATTCTATTAATTTTCATCGATATGTCACGCTTGAATTGTTTATGAATTATAGATTTTGAATGTGGAATCTGGAATCTAATTTGAAAAATGTGATTGCCATTATTATCTAAATAATAATCATTAGGATGATCGCTGTTGATATTATTGTTGAGTAATTGAGAAACTGCTTGTAGACGAAGCATCGATGAATTGTTTCTCTGTTCCAATTTGCCACTAAAATTCTTTCCGAACCAAACATTCTCTATATCCTCTATTATTGAATTATCGTCGACTGATAATGATAGATCTGGAGTACCAATCTTCGCTTGAATCGATTTGTTTACTAAAAATTATCAAAAAAATGCGAAGAATTATCAAATTATAAAAATTATAAAATTATAAAAATTATAGAATTATAAAAATTATCAAAAATGCTTTTGCGAAGAAATAAAGCACGAAATATGCATAATTCGAAAAATTACAATATTTAAAAGTTTGAAACAATAGTTGCATGGAATATCAGAGTCTACACTATGATCGAAGGATCGAAGCGATAATTATAATTCCTACAACCTATTTAGTCTAATTTTTCTCGATTAACGATAGAAATAGAAATACTAACATTGCATTAAACTATCATAATCGAATTGTCCGATAACGAATTTATCATCCGCCACTGAAATTTTGCCTATAAAAAAATAATTATTAGAAACTAAATATTAAATAAATATTAAATATTAAAAACAATATTGAAACATTAAATATAAAAAACAATTGATCAAAACTGATTAACTGATAATTATAAAAAAAAATATATAAAAATAAAATTTTTAAGAAATAAAGATTAATCAGAAATTATCCAATATTATATATTTATAAAAAAAGAAATGAATCGATCAACTATTCACTTGGAAATGAACTCGACTTGGCCGTTTTTACTGATTGTTTAGTAATATTATCAGAAGTATCCGTTACTACGGCGAGAATACTGCTTGAATTCATTGGAATATAAGACGATGAATAAAGTTGTGATGATATTAATTCCGTATCGTTCTTGTATTATGAAATATAACAATTGATATTATTGCTAATAAATTTTTTATGGTGAGGAAAGAGGAGAGAAAGGCGGTGTGAGGGAAGCAAAGGGAGGCAACAAGGGTCTAAAAAGCCATAATGAATAATAATTTGTCGTAAATTAATTGATAACATTAGATCATCGTTTCAACAAAAAAGCCATTTTCAATAGAGTCAATGGCAAAAAACCATATTAAAGACCGTATATGCTAATAAAAGCGAACCTGTAATTTTTCCAATACTAATGAAAACAGGTTCCAATGGACCGTCCGATATATTCACAATCGATGGTGCACCAGAAAAGAGAGCTGAAAATTTTCATAAAATAATTTTAAATTTCATCAAAACAATAAAATATTTAAATTTTTCAATTTTTCAACCTTTCAAACATTGAGACATTGAGAAGAAAAAAAACAAACGTGGCAATACAGTTGTGACAAAATTATGTGTCGTAAAAGTCGTAAGAGTATCCGGTGAAAATATGCTATCGTTTATATGAAATGGTGTTTCTTCTGCATTCGTTATCTCCGTATCTTAAATGCTTATTATTTTTAAAAATTTTTTTAAATTATTTGACGATTCACTGGAATCTTTTAATTTAAATTATATTTCGGTTAAATGGTAAGAATATTTATTTTGAAACTGGTGAATCTGGAAAGTTAAATTGAATGATAGAGGTAGGCCAGCAATGAATTAAAATGGCTTTAAAAATCGAAACCAGTATCAAATACTTATAGTAATGTTCCAAAGGTAGAAAATACCTGCTGTTAATTGAATAATATTAGTATCATCGGTAAAATTCATAAATGCTTGACCAGATGCGAAATAATTTAGTTCTGGATTCATGAATGTTGAGTTAATTGGAACTGTTGCATTACTATCATCCATATCATGAGAACCACTATGATTTTTGAAAAATTGGCTAGTATCATTAAATGATGTGGAAACAGAGAAAATGTTATTAGAGACGATCGATTTTGATGTCGGTATAGTTTTATATGGTGTACTGGAAATCTGTAGTATATTTTCAACGCTAGTCGTAGTACCATTCTGATCTATTTTTGCTGGAATAGTGGTCGAAATGTTAATAGCGCTTGATCTATAAGAATCACTAACATAAATGGCAGAAGCCGTTGAAGTTGATTCCATGTTAGATTTTAATATATAGTTGGAATTAATATTTGCTGAATGGGGTGAATAAGTACATTCGCACCATAATTTAACTTTTGATTCAGTCAAATTAGTTGTATATTCATGGATTTCAGCATTTGCGTCGATATTTTCACTTAATGATGGTGGTAACAATGTTGAAAAAGAAAAATTCATCTGCTGAGTGGAAGATTTTGAGGAAAAGAAATAAGATGAAGTTTTTGGAGTTGTCGAAGGACGAATAGATTCACGAGTATAATTGAAATATGATATACTAGACTTCGGTTCAAGCGGAAGAACATTCTCATAATTGTTTGTATTGTAAGATCCAAATTCGGTGATTTCGATATCATCAACTGATAGCATTGATGGCAATGGTACCGATTCATTTCTTGTAGCAACAATGATTAAAATATTCTCTGTTGAAATATTAAAATTCGTTGTACCACCAATAATATCAAATACGTGTTGCTTAGCATCTGCCGTCATCTAAAGTATTGAAAAATTGAGACTTTAAAACTATAGAAGTCCATCTATTAGCAATTATTCCAAGAAGCAAAAACAAATATTAATTGAAATAAAATTTTAAATTTGTATTAATTGAAAAATATTATTAATTGAAAATATTTATATTAATTATTACTTATTATAAATTTATTTATTATATATTATTTATATTATTTATTATTTATTTATTATTTGTGTTTATTATCTATTATATTTATTATTATAAATATTAATTGAAAAATTTTCAGCTGAAAATAATCTAAAAAAAAAACCTTAGCTGTATTAACTGTAAAAATCAACTGCGATTCATTGGCAGATGCATGAATGGAATGAATATTTCTGGATGATAGCGTTAGTAATAGTTCCATGGACCTCATTAAGATATCACTCGATATTACTCGATATCGTTTTTCATTTTCGATGAAGAATTCACCATTATTGCGATTGATTGTCGTTCTGAATATATGAATAATTAACAGACTGATAATCTTCCTGATAATCTTTGTAAATCTTTAATAGAGATTAAAATTGTGCTTATATCATTAAATATATCTATAAAAATTTCAGTAAATGCCTTATATTTATAATTTAAAATTTTATCATTTAAATTTTACACCGCATATTTATCAACTTCAATATTAATATTCGAATCATTAAGAATATTTTTAATCATAACGCCTTCATCAATACACCGAATCAGCAATGTAGTGTTCGTGATAATTATATCTAATGGTGCGACTGTTCTTATAGAAATTTCGTGTGATTTCGATATGATTTTGTTTAATGACTGATAAATATTTGATAATTCTATATAAATTTGGCCATATCGTAATCTAACCTTAAATTAGAGCTTATATTGATGGACGAAAGTAGTTTAAAATATATTTTAATTATTGAATCCAAAAAAGATCGCTACGGAACGAAAGAAAAAGACTGAAGAATTAGATATATATCATTTTGGCATATATTAAACTTTTCTACCCTCTATTTTTGGAGGGAATTAAAATCCAATGCCTCCAAGATGACGAGAAAGAAATCCACATTGCCAAATTTAATAATAAACTTTTCAAAAGGCCAGAAGGCATCTTTTTCTTCTTCTAACTCTCACCATTATTCAGATGTCTTCAAGCTGTTGCTATCGCTGATAGTAATAAAATCTATTCATTTTTCCATCATCTAAATCCATATATTCCCTATACGTCCAAAATCTTTCCTGACTATAGTACCAGTTCATGTCTTGATTAGCTCTTCTTGCTTTTGAAGCTATCCATCACAAGATTTAGCAAGTAAGGAAATACTTTTGCGGCAGACGAAGAACGTGCCTTAACCAGCAAAAGCGGGCGCTATGTGATGTGATGGTAGTATTAGTACAGTTGGCCAAATTTCTTAAAGAAATCCTCAAAAAGGCTGAAGGCATTCGTAAGTTATTTATACTTTTGTAGCAAAAAAAATGAAAAAAAAGTACTTTGGCAGAATTAAGTTTAATGATAACATTGTGATCATTAGAAATTGAATTAATATAGACTTGAGAAATAATAGAATTTGAAGAGTTATATACGATACTAATTCGTGGAATCAACGATAAGCTCCACGTTCTTCCTGTTATTTCCATTAAATCGCTATTTAGTGCCTCAATTTGAGTATTTAGAGCAGATAAATATAGTGAAAGATTATTACTGGCAGTTAATGCGATTGATGAATGTGCATTGCTTGAACGGTTCAAATATATCTAAAATTTTTAATAATTCAAAATTTTCAATTAATATTTTGAAATAATATTTTCATTATAGATTTAATATATTTTATTACATTTTTAATAAATTGTTCATTACACTACCATTTAAATTTTATTTTATTCAAATGATATTCAAATGAAAAAAATCCGAAAATGAATTATATCTATTTTATATCTATTTTATTAATATTAAAATATAAAAATTAAAACTAATTCTATTTTAAATTGAAATTTATTTATAGTAATAAAAATTAGGACTATAAGTAGAAAAAATAATTAAATAATAATAATTATAATAATAATAATAATAAAAAATGATAATTAAATAATAATTAAAATAAATAAAAAAAAAATAGTTAAATTTTTAAGAATTTTCAAAAAATTCTAACATATTAATTTTTATAAAAAATTTTAAAATTTTTTCCTGTTGGAATTGATAATGAATTTGAGATTGATAATAAATAATTTGAAAAAAAAAAAAAATTACATTAATGTTTAAGGCTTTAAGATAAAATGATAAATCACTATAATAAAATTTGGCAGTAATATTATTTGCAGTAAGATCTTCGAATTCATTTCCACCTAAATCGTATTCTAATTTCGAATTCGACGACCATATTTGTGCACATAGATAACGTTCATTTAATGCGATCCTCGATTCACCTGATAAAACCACTACTGAATAATTTACGGACACTGACGAATTATACGAATGAATCTAAAAAAAAAATTATCACTACGATTTTTTTCTTCTTAATAAAATTACTTTGTAAAAACTAATTTTCTAATTTAAAAATTAATTTTCTTCTTAATAAAATTAGTTTTGCTCTTTTAAGAGTTTTCATATTTTGAAAATTATCGCTAAATGTAAGCTCGGCGAATTATAATCAATCATAGAATTTTTGAATAGAAACGATTTATAATAAATATTTTCATTAAAAAATAGTTTTCTAGCGAAAAAGATTGGTACCATAACTCATTGAAAAACTAAAATTCACAATAGAAATGCAGAAATTTAAAAAAAAAAAAATCAAATCATATGAAATTTATATAAAATGAAATTTATTATTGAATTACAATAATTAGTTCTATAAAATTAAAAAATTTTTATAGAAAAATGAAAAATAAAAAAAAAAAAAAAAATTAAGAAATCACTTGAATATTATTATTTGGTAAATTATGTCGTTTAAATCGTTGAGCATTTAAAAACAATGAATAATTAAGAATTAGCGAAACTATTCCAAATGTTTTAATAAACGAGTAATAATAATAAATTGCTGCCTGAAACGACTCCATATAATATGTTAAATAAAATATTTTTAATTCGGTCACCATGGAAATTTTCACTTTCAACTCTACTTGAATTCCTCGTTTTAAACTATTCATCTCCATCAATGAAAATCTTTAAATTACGATCGTTTTTATTAGAATAATAAAAATAACAATAATAATAATCAATAATAATATAATACAGTAATAAATAATAATAATATTAATAATAATATTAGTATACTTTCACTTATAATTTTTCATAAGTAAATAAATCATTAAATAAATTTTGATTAAAAATAAATTTTGAATTTTAAATGAAATTTTAAAAGAAATTGTGATTCCAAAAATGATTTATTAGAATGTTGGAAACTTCAATAAATATTTATTTAATATTAAAATATTTATATTTATTTATGGATTAATCTTATTTAAGTTTTAAATTTTCCTTAAAAAACCTTAAAAAATTTTTTCAGTTTTTTTTCGATTACAAATTTTTACTAAAAAACTTTTATAAAAACTCTCTAAATGTCGGAAAATTTCCACTAAAAATCTAAAACTGCGAATTTTTTTTTGCTTCAACTTTACTTTTTACTACAATCGTTTGCTATAGCAGCGAATAAATCGAAATACTTTCATTTCAAATGTCAATTCTTCAAATGACAGCCACAATTGAAATTAGCAAAATAATGGCAACATTTCTCGGATCGATGATGAAATTTCTCGCATCAACCACGACTATTTTATTTCTTTTATTAAACATGCACGTCACATGCGTCCTATGAGATTTTCAATAATTTTGTTAACAAAAATCAAAGTACCACATTGATTAGGTGATTTTATTTGCATCATCGATATAATATAAAATCAAATAGCATATATTTATCTATTTTATAATTCTAATACAGCCAATACGTCGAATGTGAAATTTTAAAAAGAAACCAAAACAATATAAAATGAGCAATAAATTTTTAATTTAGTGTTCATTTTACCACTTTAACCTGATGTAATCATCAGCTGAGTAATGAATTCTATATTGAAGATTAAAGAGAATTGAAGAGAACAAATGACAATAAAAAAATGAGCAACAAGTTTTTTCAATTATCCAACAACAACAGTTCGACAATTACCTATACATTTTTACTAATAAAATAATAAAAAAAACTCAACGAATGTAAAAATTTTAATAAAATATCCATTAAAATGAATTAATATGAGGCAGGTTAACGTATTATGCACCACAAATTTAAAGGCATATTAATGCATATAATTGAAAAAAAAAGTAATAATCAAATATGGAAATATTCCTGTACTCACAGTTGCCATCTCATTTTTATTCTCAGTTAGAACATTCAGATATTTTTTATTCTAAATGAAAAGAATTGAACCACTGAAAACACTGCATACTTTTCAGTATAAAATTATGATTCCGAAAATGCTCTATTGACCTATTAGAAAACAGCTAAATTATATGTAAGGCAGTGAGATATTTCAGATAAATAAAAAAAGTATATCAAAAGAATGAACAACCCGTCTTCTTTTTAAGCAAATGCAAAAAAAATAACGGATTTATGGGTAATATATCATATTAAAATGAAAATGAAAATGAAAATGTATGACGAAATAAAAAATAATAAAAAGATGGTTAAATTAACATCGGTAAATACATACATCATCTACAAAAAGTGTGAATTCCTCTATACCCAAATAATACTGAAATCAAAATTCGTGAAAAACGACCATTCAACAAAAGATTTCAAAAGAAGCGATCTTTGATTTAAAAGCTTAAAGAAATTTTATAAAATTAAGATCCAAATATCGCAGTTTAAAACTGCTAAGTTAAAAAAAACACCTATTTATTATACAAGATCACCGTCAATATGTGAATAATCCAAAGGAGCTGTATGAATACCGTTTGGATGAACAAATGTTCTTAACATCTGCGGCGTAATATTGTTATTATTGTTAGAAATATTATTTAGCGAAGGGTTCGTATCAATTATTCTAGGAACTCGAATTCCTGGAGGAGAATTAATCCCATGTGCTCTCGGCAATGTACTCTTATATATTGAGCTTTTATCATCATATCCGTGAGATGTAATGGATATCTGTGGAGTAGATGAGTCCTAAATCAAAAGAAATTTAAATTTACATTAATTAAACATTAATTAAGCATTAAAAAATATGCACTAATATTATATAGATTTATATAAATTATACTTCAAATTATTTCAGTGGTTATCTTACCGTGTAATGAATATTTGTATATGAAGTTGGTGCTGTGTTCCTTAATGTCTCCGATCGAATAACACTTGCATAAAAATTGGCTGCAAAATTATAAGATGAAATAACAGAGATAATGGTAATGTTTAAATGTTTCCTCATTAAGATTCTTATGTGAAAAAAAAGTAAAATTTTCAAATAAGAAATATTTATATTCATAAAAACTAACGATCAAAATCACATTCCATATGAGAACCTCTGTCATAGAACATGCTTGGATCGACTTGCTGCACGTAACCCTCGGGGTTAACTTCCTGCAATTTATACAGGATGCTAATTAGTTTACTGCCTTCATAAATTAAATTCCACTTATAAGCAAAACTTACAATCATCGTCCTTACACTCTGATCGTCCTCTGAAGCATGTTCACGAGCAAGTTCACTGCGATTAGTATTTGTGGAATCAGGACGATATGAATTATCCATGTTCGTCAATGCTCCATACATCTGCACCGGACGGACATCGCTATCACCCTGACTCTTTCGAACCATTTCAGTTTTTTCTTAAAATAATTTTGCTTACACCTAATACTAATAAAAAAACAATAAAAATAAATCAAAATATAAGAATGAGTTAATAATATAACAGTAAACAATAAACTTCAATCAAAAATAATGTGGAAAACAAACCGATACCATTCAATCTTTTTTTGTATCAGAAATTAATACCTTGTATTTTCTTCTTTTTTTGTCTACGATGCATATAACACAGTAACATGCAGTTTATGATTAGCAATACTAATCCACCGAATCCAAACAGTGCTACCATAAATGGAGAAAATGAATCACTCTGAAATAAAATCATATAAACTTAAAACAATTCAGCAGAATTTAACATCATACATCAATTTAACATTAATTTAATTGAAACATAACAAAACAAAACTTTTATCTGCAAAATAAATAGTAAAATATTCATAGAAATATGTTTATTAGTACCTGGTCAACTACCGACAAATCTACACCATTTTTATCTTTAGTATAGGCATATATTGGACGAGAATAAGAGCTACTGAAGCCCCTAGCATTAATCGCTCGGATAGCGATTTCATAACGCGAAGCCGGTTTCAATCCTTTTATTTCAATATTCTATAAGATTGAAAATGTGATAAATAAATAAAAAAAAAGCAAACAAAAGGATCAATAAAATCAAAAGGATCGGCATCATATATCACAACAAACAACAAAGTATTATACTTACTGATGATGTAGAGTTAAGGGTGTGATAAACATTTTCGGAGTATATGCGATATCGGATTTCAAAAATTTGATCAGCGCCACCATCAAAGCCAGCCATCCAATTGAGCACTATAGATGATTTCGACACATTAACAGCGCGAATTGTTATTGGAACATCAGGAGTAGTCAAAGGACCGACTTGAATTTCAATCGAATCGTCCCCCAAACGATTCATGGCAAGACATTTTACCTTACGTTGATAATCATATTGATCTAAGCCGGAAATCAACAGCGTACTCTAAAGTGCCAATCAACAGTGGTAAATTGTTGAGAATTTTAAGAGGATAAAAGTAATAAGTCAATAAAACATCAAAAAAAAAAGAAAAATGGCACAAATAATTATAGTCATAATTAAGTTATTAAAAATTAAACTGCAGAAAGTCAAATAAAATTAAATGTACCTCGAAGGTGGAATGATTAATTGCCACACTATAAAAAGAATATTTCGAGTCATTATAACGCAAAGGAGAAATTCGCCCATCCACTGTCCAATGAAACGTAACATCTGGAACAGCTACAACGCGACAGCGCAAACGAGCGTGTCCGCCGATTGGCCCAGCCGCTCTTAAAAATGACGACTGCCGATCTATTGATGGAGCTTTTTTTATCAGCAAATAAGTGGTGGTTTGATTAGGCTGAAATATTATATTAACGTTATATTTTTAAAAACATCTTATATATCATATAATAAGATATTATGATTCGTCGACTAACATTTGATAGAATTTGAATAGTTTTTTGCATATTTTTATCTTCACTTTTTTGTTTTTAATTAATTTAAGTAAATCTAGCACAAATCTAAGCAAATACACCACTAACACCAGCAACATTCTCATTTCACCATAAGTGACTGCTTTGCTCTTAGGACAGAACAGAACAGAACCCTAGGACAGAATTTGAACGCTTAGTCGAAGCAATACCACTGGAATTATAAATGCAGTCTTATTTAAAGCAATGTTTGAATTAAGTTTAGCAAATGATCAAACAAATAACAACTGAAAAATATTTAGAAAAATTCTACCTTACCAATACCATTATCAGCAACGCAGATATATGCTCCACTCGTTTCGTGCGAAGCATTTATTCTTAAAACAGCACGTGTTTCTTCCACAAACATGCTTATTATTGGGGCACCATTATATAACCATTTTACCATCCCATTTTTTTTAGGAAAACCATTGACCACACATTCCATATCGACTTCCTCTCCATCTGATGCTATTGTTATTGGTGTTATATGTTTTACATATGCCGGAACTAAAATCACTTATTTCTTTTATTAATCTATGTGCTATTTATTAATAAAGTAATAAGTAAAGTAATAAAGAAATCTGGAAAAAAGAAGAAAAAATAAATGAGAAAATTTTACATTCAACAGTTAGACGCACTGAAATATTAGCCATACCAATACTATTTATAGCCATTAATGAGTATAATCCACTGTCTGATCTTCCAACACTTCGACCCGAAATTGTTGATCCTGGGCAAAAATATGTGATAATTGACGAAATATGAAAATGTTCACCATTAAATTTTATTTTAAACATTTCTTGCTAAGGTGCAAATCTTATTATTTCAAAGTTTTAAAACTATGCAGAATTTTATAAATTAGCTTTTGTGCAGAAATTCAAAATTCAATGCTCAATTCGTTTGATGAGTTCCCGCCGTTTAAAATAAGAAATAAACTTAAAATAAGCTTTGAATGTGGAATAGAATAAACCTCTAGCGATTATGGCCCCCACTGTATATTCAAAAGGAACGCCATTTTTCTTCCATCTCCAAGTTGAAACAGGCGGATTTGCGCGAATTGTTATATTTTCTTTGAAAGAATCACCTTCAGTAACAGCAATTGTTATTGGTCCATCAACAACTGCATTGGGAGCGTCTTAAAAAAGTCATCTTCCATAAGCCAATCTATATTCTGATTTCCCAATTTTTCAAAAAAGATAAAACTCACACAAAACAACCAAAGGAAACGATGAAGTTTTCTGCGTGTTCCACAATGGATGGGATGCTATACATTTTAGATTATATCCATCTAAATCCTCCGTTGGAATGAACTCGACTAAACTTTCAACTTCAAATCCACCAAATTCATGACTTCTAAATAAACAAAATTCGCAAACGGCTAATCAGCTAAATATTTAACAACTTCAACAATTTTTCAAATTCAAAGAAATATTCTAAAATGATTGTTTTGCAAATTTAAAAAATTGGTGCAAAATGAAAATTTACGATTTATTTCGACGATTTTCTTCGCGGAAATTAGTGAAATCATTCTCAAATTTCCAATCAATATTAGCAGCTGGATTTGATGAAGGAACGATACAAATGAATTTGGCTAATTCACCAGATATTACTTTATGACCAGTTTGACTCTCTTTTCGGATAATTAAATGTCGAGGAGGAACTTGAATATAATTTATATTAATATAATTAATGATATGAAATTAAAATTCGGCAAGTCTTAATTATATTCAAAAAAATATAAGCCTAAGTCTAAGTCTAAGCCAAATGAACTAAAAGATTTATATAAAGACATGCACATTACAAAAAAATACTAAGAATGGTCAATTAAAATAAAATTATGCAAATTTTTAATAATTTTAATAAAACTTACATAAAACACGAATCGTCCGAGTAGCCGATAATGGTTCATCCAGCGCTCCATTATTTGCCTCACATTTTATGTGCTGCTTGTTCATTGTTCTATCAAGCAAAATTGAAATCATACTTTGCGAGATATCACCAGAAACTGCACTTTTTGTTTCTTGTACCTTAATCAATTTTAATTGCATATATTAATTATTTTTGAAAACAATTTTAAAAATAAAAATAATTACAAATGTAATACAACGAGCAACACAAAAAAAAAACAAACAACATGGAAGTGATCTTTAAAAAAACCTCTTTCCATCGAGTTCTAAATTTATGTCTCGCATGCTTCTTCAAAAATTAAGTATATTAAAAAACAAAGGCATTAAAATATGATTATCAATGATCAAATGAAAACTAAAGGAATAAAATTATAGAATTTAGATGACATTTAATCTTCACTTTCTTCACTTTTTTCTTCACTTTTTCACTTCTGAAAAACAACAAAATATATTCATTCACTCGACGACCACAAAATCGGTAAATTATGACTGTGAAAGATTTTTTAAAAAAAAAACCTTTTCCACACTTCGATACCAAGAAAGTGCAGCCAAGGGATTGCCACCATGTGATTCACATGTCATATTTAAAACCTCACCCTCCAATAATGTTTCATCGGTACCATAAATCACTGGCTCGCCAGGAGGTGCTGCAATCAATATATTTAAAAAAGATATAAGTAAGATATAAGTATCTTTTATTAAAAAAGATATAAGTAAAAAGATATAAGTAAAAGAAGATATAACTAAGTAAAAAAAAAAAAGATATAAGGAAAGATTTTTCTTTATAATAATAAAGATTACACAAAATTCTTATGGTGTGTTGCTTCTTTGCAGTTCCTTCGTTATTTTTTGCAATACATTCAACAATAATGCGAAAATTTGAAGACGAAACATCAGCCGTATTAAATGTTATATTTGATAATGAAATAAATCCATTCGATTGTTGGTATACAGTTTCATTAGCTGATGAAGCGACAATTCCATTTATTAACCAAATAATTTTTGATGCCGGATTTGACAATCTTAAATTAACTTTGTCCTGTGCAAAAAATATTCAAGAAATTTCCAATTTAAATAATTTTTCTATTTTCTATACCATCCAATTTTCAACTTAGACCTTAACGAAAATCTTTTCTTGAATTACAAGAGATTATGAAGAGAAAAATTTTATTTATACATGAATGAATGAAAAAAATGGAAAAGTGAAACCTTACCGAGATCTACAATGAACATACATCGTCCTTCCCAATCTCACCGAACTTTCCGCATAAATATCCACTCCTAGCGGTGCAACTGGAATATATCACCGTAAAATAAGCTTGAAAATTAAAAAATATCAATAAATGAGACAAAAAAGATAAAGCAATTTTTAAAAGTTTCTCAGTATGAACAAAGAGAGTAATAGAGCAAATTACATGCGACATCCAATTGAATTCTTTCACGTACGGCATTATCCTTGTGATTCCAAGATTGGCATATAAAATTTACGCCATTATCTTCAGCTCCAACAACCATCGAATATGCATTCGTTGTTTCCTAAAAAAAACATCCAATATGTTATTCAATAGTTCTTTCTTATCAGCAACCACTGGCGTCGATATATAAACAAATGAAAATCCAAACAAAATGAAGAATGAAAAAAATACCAAATTATCAGCATTATATTGAAACGCATTGCTAATAATTCGTTGATCTAGCAACCAAGTTACATTAGGAGGTGGATTACCTCCAACTGTCGAACATAGCAAAGTAATATTATTTCCAACTCTTAATATATCATTATCATTTAATAACGTAATTCTCGGTTTATCTGCGGGATCTGAAATAGTTCATATTTTTTTCTGTCTTTATTTTTGTACTGAATTGATAGAATTAAGGATTAACAATCTCATATTAGTGATTGATCACTATGACGCCATAATTGACGATCAACACCAACCATATTAACATTACGCCACAAAACTGCTCAATTAGAAAAAATATTGCCATATCTCCAATGGACCCGTTACAATTTTAACTGTTATGCTTAATTAAAACAAAAAATTAAGCAAAAAGAAAACAAATATTTCTTCATATATTTGAATCTAAAAATTAAAAATTAATTTTTTAGAAAACTTGGGGAAGAATATGATTCAATGCACAAAAAAACTTACATAAAACATTTAAGGTAAAATTAACTCGCTGAATAATTGAAGAAGAATGAGACGATTCACACGTAAATATTTTCTTATTATCATTCCGCCTAAAACAAAAAATTTAATGAAAAAGCAAGCGATCTTAATGTACAAGTAAATTAACTTCAACTCTGTAAACCAAAACTAAAAATTCAGGTACAACTAAGCAAAAAATATAAAAGAAAAATCTTTCGCAAAATAAATTAACAAAATTATAAACCTTCATAACTAACAATAAAGTTATAAATATAAATTTTAAATTTATAAAAATTATAAATTTTTAAAGCAAAATGCAATCGAAGCGTTTTACGAGAAAACTTACGATGGTTTCCACAAAACAGCTGCAAACGTTGTAACCGTCTTATTAATATTTTGTGTATTCCAACGATATACTTCATCATGTATTTTGCGACCATTAACGTGCCAGTGAATGATTGCAGCTGGTTTTGCATTGAATGCTCCACAACTTATATTTAATATTATATTTTCTTCAACGGCTATTACTTCTCCAGAATTATGACCCAGTAATTTTACTTCTGTTGGTGGTACTGAAATAATATTTAAATCGATATCATTGAATTAAAAATAAATTATTCCTTGAACCTGAAATAATTTGATTGTATTAAATAAATAAATTTAAATCAATATGTATAAAAAAGGATTTTTGCATGAGTGAACACATGAATTTCTTCCGTTACTACATTACTTTCCTATAAAAATAACGGAATTGTGAAGCGATTATGCCACTCCCTATAATAATTTGCTAAGCCAACAAAATTATTTCACTAGTATATGCCATATTTCCACAAAATTATAAAATTATCAATATATTTTCATTATCACTAATTATCAAAACGAAGAATGTATTAATGATAAATGATAAATTCGATGTCAATAACAGCAAATAAGAATAGAGAAAACTGCACCAATGAACTTCATAAACTTTTTACAGTAACAAAATTTATCAAGTTTTATTTTAATAATTTATATTATTTACATTATTTTATATTAATTAATAAGCTAATAATTTTAAATTTTCGGCAAAAAACGACTTTCTTGAGAATTTCAATATTATTTTCAAAACCCTATTAGCATAGACAAATCAATAGCATTTTATTAGAATATTTTTTGAGGTCTAAAATTTAAAATCTTTGCTCTGAATCCAAAGAAACATTAAAAATAAAATAAAGATTGGCTCATACAAAACCTTATAACAAATTTCTTCTTCTAGAAACCATTATAGTAACAATATTTATAAAGAGAGAAAAACTCTTTCTTGTTTTCAATATTACTGTAGCCTTTTATTAATGATGACGATTTATTATTGCGCTATTTCAAATTTCTCTAAAATTTCAAATAAAATAATTTTTATTTGCAAAATTAATTAGCAATTAAAATTAGTCAATTGATAGAAAGCCATATTTTCATTTTTTTTCATATTTTCATACATTTTTTTCATACTTTCTTTTTTGTTCAATGGAAAAAAATATGAAAAAACTAAAATACTAAAGGATGCCGGAAAAAAACTAATGCTTTATGTAATTTTTTCTCTTTAATGAAGCATTTCCTTCTGAATAGCAAAATTAAATTTCCGAAAAGATAAGGCAAATTTACTTAAAACAATTTTCCTTGTTTACTTTTGCATTTCTCCACAGCATCTTTTATTTATTTCAAGTTTGAACTACGATTAAAAGTTATATTTTATGTAAAATAAAAAATTTTTTGCATCGTAAAAAATTCTAAGAATAATACAAACGTGCTTATATAGCGCAAATGGAACACTTGAGAAGTCTTAAAAACCAGATTTCGCCTAACCTCATTTGATTATAAGCTGACCTAATCCTTTCTTCATTAAACTTATTAATGCTTAATCTCGCACACTTTTTCGCCTCTTATTCACTAAAGATAATTAATAAGCACATCCTATTATCTACTTATATCGCATTCGATTCGTTCTTTTCTAACAGACAAATTATATGCTAAATAATGAATATAAAATGTACATTTTTAAGCAAAAAATAAAAAAATTAAAATCAAAGGAATAAAATCAAAATTGAAACTAACCAATAACATTAACATAAGCAGATGCTCGAAATCCACCAGTACGAATTCGCGTCATTTGACATTCAAACTGACCGTCGTCATCAAGTGTTACATTCGTTATCAACAAATGCTTTTCATTAATATTTTCACGAATGTAACTATAACGTTGACCATGTCCGGCTAATACTCCAGCATCATTAAAACTATAAGTTACATTCCTTTAATTGATTTATCATAAAAAACGAGGTTTAAAAAAATAATACGAAAAATCCCTTCCTCATCCCTTGTAGGTGGCAAAGACCATTCTCAACCTGGGGTCCTCTATCAGAGGCCTGAGAAATCGAAGGTCCTGCGCAGTACCTTAGCTGCTCCCAGTAATATGCTCTTCTGGATAAAAACCTCTTTTGTTGTTCCTGGAATCTGCGGAAACCACTTTTCCAGTTTAAAGGCTTTCCTTTCTAATTTAGTTCTAAGTTAAAAAATACTTTCGGTATAAATATTACTTTTATTAGAATTATTAAAAAAACGATTAGTGAAATTGCTTTTTATATTTTAGCTAAAATATTTTTTGTTCGCACCATTTATATTACAAAAAAACAGAAAAATAACTCTAAAATGCAAAAAGCCACATCATTTTAATTGCGATAACAAATAAATAAATTCAAAATGAACCCTAAAAGTGCTCCATCATTACTTTTCCACTGACTGTATAATGCTTCACCGCTGTATGAGGGTTTTGCGACACATTTTAACAATACATTTTCACCTAATAATACTGTCTGAAAGAAAATGAATATTATACATTTTCATTTCAACAATAAAAATAATAATTATTGTTTATTGTATGTTTCAATGCAAACACATGACGTTCCAACTTCTTTTCTTTCGTTCGGTTAAATAAATAAATAATAAATGAATAATTTACTGAATTATTTCTTAAAAAAACGTTCCTAAAAAATAATTGTTAAAAAATGTTTCTTTTTTGAAAAAATATATCACCCCATAATTTATGCAAAAATAATTTAGTAAAATAATTAACGATGGTTCACATATCATTCTAAAATGAATTGAAGGTAACAGCTGTCTTACGAGCAGTAAAGCTATGGTCGATTAAAAAAAGGTCAACCCATACCCAAGTTTTTTTTTTTTATTTATCCAAATATTTTACGATTTGTAATTGAATTATAAATAATTAGAATTAAAAATAATTAAGGAGTAATTAAAATGAGAAAAAATCTAAAAGAGAAAAAATATTTAACCTGATTTTTTGGTTTTTCTGCGAATTGTGCATCATTATCTTTACCGCTATCGTTGTTATTATTAATATTAATTTCGTTAAAACCAAAAATATTATTTATCAATAATAATAAAAATAATATTTTCACAAATCGCATTTTTTTCAAAGACGCCTAAAATAAAATAAGTATTATTACAATTATTCTCATTGTTTTTCAAAATTTTTAAACAATTATTCTCTTGTTTTTCAAAATTTTAATCTTTTAATTTCCTTAAATTTGATAAATATTTCGATTAATTTTCTTATTTCCTAAATGAAAAAAATTTTTTCCTCTAAAGATTTTAAAAAAATTATAAAAAATTTTGCAAGTGATAAAATAACTTAGCATAAAAACAATAAAAAAAATTGCTTTTTCTGGATTTTTGAAAAGAAATAAATCAAAAAATAGTAAAAAAGAAAAAGCGATAATTTAATGAATGAATAATTGAACACAAAGAAAAAATTTTGGATAAATCTAATTTATCGATTCAAAATAAAAATTTTCTCTAATTCTAATTTCTTATTTTACTTACTTTACTTATTCAAAACTCCTAAAATCACTGAAACTTTTAAAAAGTAAGCCGAGAAAGTTGCATTAAAAATTGCAATATTTAAAACGCCCTATTTCCTAACATATTTTATTTCAAAAATAATCTATAGAAATGCAGTAAAAAAAATTATTTATTATTTTAATAATTATTTCCCGTTTTATTTATTAATTTATTTACTTAAATTTTTAAAATAAATAAAAATTTATGCAAATGAATTAAAATGAATTAAAATGTCTTTTTTCACCTTTTAGCCCTTTCGATCATTCAAATTTGCTTAATTTCTTTCACTATTAAAATCAAAATTTTTTTTTTTCAATACTCCACTATGACCTCTGATCTCTGAAAAGAAAAAATTTGTTAAGAATCTGGAAAAAGTTCAAATTAAAACGAATTAAAAATTCATAAAATAAAATCAAATAAAAATATTTCGTTCATAAAGGAAAAATTAATAAAAATTTATAGAAATTTGTAAAAATATTTAAAAAATGGAATTCAAATTTTTCATTTAAAAAAATATTTTTATTAATTATATATATATATTAATTTTTATAAAATTATTAATTATTAATAATCGATTTAAATTAATAAAAGATAATGAAAATCTTTAAGGTTTTCATCGATTTTACCAAATATAAAAATTATTTCTAAATTCTCTATTATTAATCCGATTTGCGTGACCTTGTTTGACACTCATCTTGTGAAGCACTTCCACCGTATGCGAGTTTTTTCTTCTCGATAAACAACTAATAATACATTCCAACCATTAGCTGACCCCCGGTTGACCTCTCGCTGACCTTTCTTACCTAATTTACCTCCCATCCGACTTCTACAAAAATTTCTTATAACTTCGATGGTTCACGAAAAATTTAGCCTAAATTGCGAGTGAACCCGCTACCGTTCACCTTTTTTTCATGTTTTCGTTTTAATATTCAAAAATTTAAATTATTCAAATAAAGTTATAAAAGCGATATTTTTCATTAAATATAATTAAAAATTTATTTTAATTATTAAAAAATATTTTAAAAAATTACGACGAAAATTTAATTTAATTTATATGGATTATCGAACGAAATTTATTTCGAATTTTTCAAAAAACAATTCGACAACGTTTCCTAGCAAAATGAAGCAAATGCGTTTCGTTTGCTAGCGATTATAAAATTATAGTTTTTACGTTCGGCGACCACTGCTTCTCTATTAATAATTTTCAAAGAATATCATTTTAAATATTTTTAAATAATTTTTTATAATTTTTATAAATTATTACAAATTTACATATAATATTATATATAATATATACAGTAATTCTATATGTTGTTATTTCAGAAAAATAACATCAGAGATCTCTGACCAGAAGAGCGCATTGCTAAGAACAGCGATCCAGGATATTGTGTAGGACTCGAGACCTCCGGTAGAGGACACCAGGTTGAGGATCATCAATGCCACCCATAAGGAGTGAGAAAGGGATTTTTTATGTGCATATAGTATAATCTGACATACTAATATGTATGTATGTGTCCCCACGTTCTCACTATTATACTCACAAAAAAAATATCAGACTTTGTGAACATTTCCTCCAAATCCTCTTTCAATCTCGTCGTGACACCTCTCTCTTTATTTTCCCCTTACATTCACCTCATATCTTCATTTTTCATTTCTAACTGATCAGCAAATATTCTTTTATAACCATTTTTCGAATCCTATTTATATCTCCTCTAATCAGTCCTTTCTCAGAATTCATGCATAAAATTTCGAAACGCCGCTTTGTGTCATTATTCCTTTAGGTAATTTACACGCTATTTATACATCTATTTTTTAAAAAATTAAAAAAAAAATTAAAAAATCCAAGAAATTACTATACTTATTAATAAATTTCATGAAAATAGTGGTGTAGTATAATAATTAGAATATATTTGAGGAATTGGGCATGGCGAAGCACAATCAAAAATAATCAAATGATGGAAAATATTAGGGCATTCTTGATGCATATAAGATCAATTCTGATTTAATTTATCGTTATCTAATTAATATCAGTAAGTAAGTAAGTAAGATGTTACTCACTTGCATATTTTATATTCCTCTTATTCCTCTTTTATTATTTATTAAATTTTAAAAATGAAAATTTTATGAGATTTATAAATTTGATTTGATTCTGACTTGTATTTGTCGTACTTCACTTTACTTTACTTCATTTTACTTTACTTTACTTTACTTAGCTTCTTCACCAATTATATGAACCAAATCAATCAAGAAAATAGCAATTAGAATTTTATTCTCAATTTTCTTATTTGATTAGCCTTTCTTTCAAATTTAATCAACGATAATCATTTCCTCGTTACCTAATAAACTAACAAATGAACTAATATTTTTTGTTTTATTTTTCAATTTTCCTTTTTTTTATGTTTTTTTTTCTAATTAGAATCTAATTTAAGTTATTGATAATTTTAATGTTCGAGTATATTCTCATTTTATGAAATACGGAAACTCGCTCTCATATTCAGAGGGTAATAAAACTTATCAAAAAATCCAAATGCTTATACCTTAACAAATTTTCTAAATGCTAAATATTTAATATTTAAAGTATATTTAAATAATATTCTAATATTTATAATATTGCCGATAATTTGCCAAATTTTAAAGGTTCTAATAATATATTTTCAAAGCGTTATTTGATGAGTACCAATTTTTAAATTTTCACTGATAAATATTCAGTAATAAAATGATAAAAGACTATGATGCGATATAATGATATTGAAAATATAAGGATTTGTTTATTTACGGCTTTTCTGATTTCGCTGAATAAGAGAGAAATACTTTCTCGCTAAAAGATTTGCTTTGAGATAGAACAACTATAGACGAATCTCCAGCGTCCGAATCCAGATTTAATGACCTTCAGCGACGATCAAAGCATAGTAATCGAACCGATGATGCTTGAAATGGAGTGTATTGAACATGTAAATATCCAATAATCTTATTTATTTATGCTATATCATCTCCATTTGAATTTTTGGAAGAAATAGTTTATTAAAGGAAAATTAATGAATTCTTCCAGAAAGAAATCTTTTAAAAGATAAATGAGTAAATATTTCGTAATAAATAAACAATCAAAATGTGCAAAATATTTTGTATTATAAAAATAAAAAATATTTTATATAATAAAATATAAAATAAAATAAAAAATAAAAAATCTAAATATTGGTAAATAATTATTTAAATAATGAGAAGACTATTATTTTTATATTTATTTGTTCATTTATAATTCATACGACAAACGAAGATTTACAATAAAAATATTATTTATTATATATTATTATTATTTCTGGAAATAATTAAAAATTACCTCCTAATGTGCATTTAAAAGCTAAAAAGCTTTAAATTGTTTCAACGATTTGCAAAGATACTTCTCTTATTTCGTTCCTCTAGCAGCATCCAAGACTTCTCATTTGGGCTACACGAGAAATTCACTTGGAAATGGTTGGAAATACGCGGATTTGACAGCTATCAGCTGGAAATAGCAAATTTGCTTCCGTTAAAAGAAAGGAATCGAACGAGCACTATTTACCTTCAGTCTTAGCCATATAATATATAACTCAGTTATTCGAATTGCACCCAATTCCTTGATTATTCATGATTTTCATTTATAAATATACATACAACTTATAAGAGAAAGATTATTCATATATATAGTAATTATTCATAAATAATAATAAAATTAAAAAATGCAAAAATAAAGACAAAACGACTTCCAGTGGAATTGATCAATTCTTTACTTTATAACAAAAAAAAAAGCTTCCATACTTCCACATCTGACTTCATGAATAATTTCAAATAAATTTTGATAAATCCAAAAAGGAGAAAAAAAATCCAGGCAAAAAGCATTCATACAAAACCACTGATGAAAATTAATTTAATTTATTGCGCTTCAATGTGTCTATTGCCAAAACGTGATAGATAGTATGAAAATAACGATGGTTCTATCTTATCAATATCCTTATCACATTAATCTCATCATCCACATCATCGATCTTTTTTTTTGACAACAGTGATTATTATTATCATTCATTCATTTGATAATTATTTATTCAAAATTATAGGATATATTTTAATTTAATTTTAATTAAAATGAAATATTTTCAAAGTAATATTAATATTAAATTTTATGAATACATTATCAACAACTTATAAACATATGTATTTTCTGATTATTATAGAATCGATTTTCACAAAGATATCATCTTTCGAAAAAAAAAAAAATTTCTTACTTACTTACTAAAATTTCGACGATTTATTTTAAAAAAAAAATTTATGAATATGAATAAAAATATATATAATAAAATATATTTTTATACATTCGTATAAAGCAAACATCAAATTCTATTCGACTTTGAACCAATAATTTTAATTAGCTGTGAAATGGTGAATATAATTTGAGCAATCATCATCGTCTAAATAAGTGCTAAGTGGTGAGTAATTAATGTCATTTGCAGGTCAAATAGTAAGTCAATGAGGTCAAATTTCGGTTCATTCCGAGATTTTTTCATAAAAATTCTCTCTCTCTCTCTCGTATTTT